ATTGCCCGGGGCCGCTGGGAGTGGCCCCACTATGTCTAATCCCCAGAGTGCGAACGACCAAGGACTTGTAAGGAGAGCAGTTTTCTTGCTTGGCTGATGGATCTGGATGAACGAACTTCTGATATTTTCACACCGGCGATCGTACTTCTACGCGTTCGCCTGTATGCATGGCCACCAGTAACCCTGAGAAATCGCTCGGTAGGCCGAAAGATCTGCCCCCAGTATGGCTGCCGCAGATGCTTCATGGATCTCATAGAGGAAGGCTTCCACCTTAGAGGTGTGACAACACTTCAAGTACGGCCCAGCGAAAGACTTCTTATACAAGGTTCCGGAAGGGGAGAGCCCAAACCACTTTGACTTGGCTCGGACCTTGTTGGCTGTCTTCTTTTCTTCCGGCAGAACTCTGTTTCTCAGGAAAGTGAAGATGGGATCCACAGGAAGGACCCAAAGTCGGTGCAGAATACCTGGCTGATTCTGGTTTCCTCAATGCTTGGCCGGGGGGTAAAAATTCTATCATTAAGGGGTTGGGAAAAGCTATCTGAGTGGAAGCCGAGTCCAGCCAATTCGTCAGCCATGTTGTTTTCTTCGCGGTTGATTTGTTCCATCCCTTATGCGGCGAACTTCTTGATCTCTGTGCGTACCAGCGCCTGATACTTGGCCATTCTTTCATCCTTGCTTCATACTCCCCTGAGACCTGATTGACCACCAACTTGGAATCACTGAATACCATAAGGGCTGTGGCTTTCATTCTCAGCGCGCTTCTTAGTCCGGCAAGGAGGGCTTCATACTCAGCCTCGTTGTTGGATGCTGGGAAGCCGAGTGTAATTGCCTGCTCGATGATCAGCCGTCCGGTGAGGTCAGCACGATGCCCAGCCCGGCCCCATGCCTGTTGGATGCCCCATCGACGAAGAGCTTCCACAATCTCGCCAATGAACAGCTTCCAGCAATCAGACGGGTTTTGGAGGTTCTCAGTTCTAAGTCTCTAGTCGGCCCATTCTGGTCTTTTTCCTTGTCTTGGTTGGGTTCATCTTCGCCGAACTTTGTTAGTTCGGTCGTGCTTTGCCCTTCTCCCACTTGCGAGCCAACACTTTTTTGTTGCCGAACCATGGTGTGCTAAATCCGCACCAACCAAATCAATGGGCAGACTGGATGCATCCCAGGGGCAAATTCCGCCACAAAGTTAGCAAGTGCTTGAGCCTTGATTGCGGTGCACGGTCGGAACTTGATGTCATATTGCCCTATTCCACGGCCCATTTCAAAATTCTGCCAGTGAAGTCTGCCTTTTCAAAAAGCACCTGAGCGGAACTCGGTTAACACAACTATTGTACGGGCATGAAAATAGTGTGCCAGCTTTCTTGATGCCATCATTAGGGCCAGCGCCAATTTTTCCAAGGGAAGATATCTCGTTTCGGCTGGGAGAAGAGTCTTGCTTACATAAAAGATCGGTAGGTGCTGGATGCCTTCAGCACGTACCAATACCGCGCTGACTGCGTGTTGAGAGACAGCCAAGTAGAGACATAACTCTTCGCCTGGCTGAGGTGTGACCAAAATAGGGGCTGAGGAGAGATATGCTTTCAGGTCTGCTAGTGCGCGGTCGCACTTATCATCCCAGAAGAACTTGGACTTCAGAGTTTTAAAGAAGGGCCTGCAACGATCCGAAGACCGGCTGATAAATCTGTTCAACGCGGCTGCCATCCCGACAAGATGTTGCACGTCCTTCGTGGAGTTAGGACGCTCCAGCTCTTGTATTGCCTTGATTTGTGATGGGTCGGCTTCGATTCCCCGGTTTGTAACCAGAAAACCCAAGAACTTCCCAGTGCCAACTCCGAAGGCGCATTTGGAGGCGTTCAGACGAAGCTTGTGATGCTTTAGGATGGCAAACATTTCTGCTAGGTCGGCGAGGTGTTGAGACTTCTCCCTACTCTTCACCACCATGTCGTCGATATAGGCCTCCATTGTTCGGCCCAAAAGAGGAGTGAACATCTTTGTTACCATCCTCTGAAAAGTCGCCCCGGCGTTCTTCAGTCCGAACGGCATGACTTTGTAACAATAGAAGCCCCTGGGAGTGGTGAACGATGTGATCTCTCGATCCGGTCTATACATAGCTATTTGGTGGTAGCCGCGACATGCGTCCAGGAAGCTAAACCTCTGATGGCTAGCGGTTAAGTCCACCAGCTGGTCAATTCGAGGGTGGGGAAAGCTATCCTTAGGGCAAGCACGATTGACAGTCTTGTAGTCAACGCAGACCCGCCACTTGCCGTTCTTCTTTAGAACCACCACCGTGTTGGATATCCATCAAGGGTATTGCACTTCTTCTATGGCCCCAGCTTCTACCAGGTTCTTCACTTCTTCCGCTACCACCTCAGCATGGTGCAAGGCTGAGCGGCGTGTCCTTTGGATGACGGGCCGTACATCAGGGAAGACATTCAACTGATGGCAAATGAAGCTTGGGTCAACGCCAGGCATATCGTAAGGCGTCCATGCAAAGGCCTCCAAATTAGAAGTCAAGAATTTGACGTAATCTAACCGCTCGGCGCTCGACAAAGATGATCCCAAGAGGAAGAACTTAGTCGAGTCGTCCTCGTCGATGCGCACTTTAACCAAATCCTCTACCGATTTTTCCTCGACCTTCCTTCCTACGTCTTCAAGGACCTCCTTCCTCTCGGGCCCCTCAATCATCTGGACGAACCCTTTGGCTGCTCAGCTGCCATTTACCGCAACGAAGCATTGTTTTGCCATCACCTGGTCTCCCCAAACCTCTTCGATTTGCCCGGCAGGCGCCGGAAAGCGCATAACTTGATGGAAGGTAGACGCAACTGCTTGCATGGCGTGCAACCACCCCCTGCCCAAAATTAAGTTGTATGTGGATGAAACTTTCAGCACCCAGAATTCCACCAGCTTTACTATAGAACCCACTCTGACCGGCAAAATGATCTTTCCGATCGGCCACTCTGGTTGAGAGTTAAAACCAACCAAGGAGGACGTCGCGGGAGCCAAGTCTTTGTCCTCTAGCTTCATTTGCTTGAAAGCATCATAATACATAATTTCGACCGAACTCCCCTGGTCGATCAAAATTCTTTTAATGTCAAAGCCTTTGACGCGAAGACTTGCCACTAAGGCATCATTGTGGGGCATCTGGATCCTCTCTAAATCCTTGCTTGTAAAGGTAAGGACGTCTTTTGGCTCGGTTTTCCCCCTCTTCACAGTGGGCTGAACAGAGAGCACTTCCCTCATATGCTCGGCCTTCTTGATCATCCCTCTCAGCTCGCAGACCCTGGCTGGTTCAATGATACCATGGATAACGTTGATTATACCTTGCGGGGCCGCATCTTGGGCGGCTAGGCCGTTTGGCTCGGCTTGCCCTGATGGTGCGGCCTTCATTCCCCCATCTATGTATTGGTCAAGATGTCCAGCCGCCACCAACTCCTCCAAGTGTTGTTTGAGCGGCAAGCAGTCCTCCGTTCGGTGGCCCCGTTCTTCATGAAAGGTGTAGCGATATTTCGAATTGAAGCCCCTCTGCGCACTCCCCAACTTGGCCAGCCAACGGATGAAGGGTTCACCTCGAATCTCGCTCAAAATGCGGTAGATGGGGATTTTAAAGACCGTGGTAATTCTAGACTATGCCTTCAATTTTCTTTTGGCATCCTCCGCTACATCACGGGGAGTGTCAGCCCGGTCGTTTCAGCAGCCCTTGTTTCTGTTATCACGGTTTGACCCATGGCGCTGATCTTTTAACCGGTTGTTTGGGCGGTTATCCTCCTGCCCAATCGAGTGAACTTTCCCCGCCACGCTTCTGTCCGCCGCGACCGGATTAGCCTTCTCGGTCGCGGAGGCGGCATCATCCTCCACGCGAATGTGCTCATTGATCCGCTGCATCAATAACTCCATGGTTGTGGGTTGATGCATCGTGAGTGAATCTCGCAGCCTATGTCCGACTGGGAGACCTCGTTTGTATTGAGTGATCGCCAAATTGGTGGGGCAATCGAGGATCTCATTGTAAGTTTCCCAGTATTTCGCATTGTATAACTTCAACGAACATCCAGACTCCATCTTGACGCCCAGGAGATGGTCGACCTCCTTCGGCGTTCGTGTGTTGGTTTTGAATCTGGTGACGAAGGCTTCCGCTAGTTGCTGCCACCCCTCAATACTCCCCTCCGGGAGCCTTTCGAACCACTTCAAATCCAGCTCTCCCAAGCTTGCTGGGAATATGAGGCACATCAAGGCGTCGTTGCGCCGGTGGCCAACCATTACTTGTCGGTAATGGCTCACATGCATGTACGGATCCGTCTTGCCGTCGTACAAAGTGAACTTTGGCTAGTGGAATCCGACAGGGAGTGGTGTACTCTCAATCTCTGGAGATAGCGGCGTGGCTGTAAGTCACACCAGCTCTTTGTCCACCAGCGCATGGGCTATCGCTTTGGGGGCTGGCATCGCCACTTCCTCACTACAACGAACTGGAGTGCTCAATCTCTGCAATCCCGGCACTCTCAGAGCCTCCCGACGGCGCGCCCTCTCCTCCAATACATCCCTCAAGTCCTTGGAACGTGTAGAGAAAGAGGATCGTGACGTCAACGTCGGGCGTGAGAGGCTGTAAGTGCTGTCGCGAGAGAGGAACCTGCCCTCTCTTTGGTCAGAATCTCCAACCCCATAGTTCCTGGTGATGGAAAGAGAGTGAGTCCTCCCCTGGCGGTGACTGCTACAACGAGGGGACGGGGTGCGCTCACTGAGGTTGCCCTCTCCAGCAACACCCTTCACTTTAATCTGGCGTTTCAGCAGCTCCATCTCCGCCGCTATCCTGCGAATGAGGGCGTCTTGGTCCTTGAGTTTGTGCTCCAAGCGCTGCGCATGGGACTCCCCCCGGCGTCGGCGGCCCTCTGGACTCTGCGAGCGATCAGTACTCCTCCCGCGTTTGTCTCCCGCACCTCGCGAAGAAGTCTCTAGGCCCGCCATGGCTGGAATATTCAGGGGGCCTTCTCTCAGGCGAACATACTCAGGTGTGACGCCATTGATGACGGACAGTGGGGCTTCGTCGTTGTTGGCCATGGAAATGGTCGAAAAAGCTCACAGAACAAGGGTTGAGTACCAAAGAATTCCCACAGACGGCGCCAATTGTACGGGGGCGAAATATCCTCTGCTTTCCATACTCCTTGGACGTCAAGCTTTTCATGACGACGTCTATCTTTGCAACACAGAAATGGTGAGCTGCCCGGCGGTGGTGTGCCGGATAGACCCTCCGACGATCAAGTCAGACCACTGGAGGAAGAATAAGGCTATCAGAGAGAGAGAGTGTGTGTTAGTGATAGAGTGAATTTTGCATACCTCTAACATTCCTCTTTCCTTCTATTTCTAGGCTGGCCATGCAGCCTCAAGATTGTGCGCGCACTACCTCTGTTGTCCTTCCCTGGACAGGTGACAGTGCTCGCCTCTCACCACCTTACGCGTGTAAAGGCTTAGTCCTTCCACCAGTACACGCAGAACTGTCCAACGGTATTGATGCGTGCGTGGAGCAGATGTCCTCTCCCTCACGCCATTGGCCCAGGTGGCACACCTAACCGGAGTACCACGACCGGCCTATCCCTTGTGGAGAACTGTCACCACATGCACGAAACCGAGCTATGTGTCGTCGCCCTGCCCCTTTGGTAAAGGGGCCAAGGGGTGATGCTCATGACCGGGCTGATATTGACCGGCTTATTGTGGCTTTCCAGTTCCGAGGCATGCCGGCCTCCATCCGTTCTACCTTCATCCGAGGTTATCTGGAATCTGTCTAGCTCGGCTAACCGTTCAAAGGCATGCCGGCCTTCGCCTCGTCCTTGGTTTAGCCCAAGCTACCCGTAGCTCGGTCTCGCCACTCGACTGCGTGCCCTGCCAAATGTCTACAAGTCACAGCTCGGCCGGGCGTAGTTCACGCCTGGTCTGCCGATCTCCTTGACCGAGCAAAACCGATCCACCGGCCGTCTCAGTAAAGGAAATAGCGCGGCGCCGTGAAGTTTGTCACGACCAGCACTATCGTAGCTCGACCGTACTAACGGTGCAAATCCCCTCTCAATTTTAATTTTATTATACTATAAATGCATAACTCAAAAAAAAATCTATGCGATAACATTATATGTATTATTTATATGTATGTTTATATGAAAACGTACAAATAAAATTATTTTGAAATTTCTATAGTACGTCTGGTTAACTAGGTTATGATGAATCATACGAGGTAGAAATAGAATTTCCTTGGAAACAACTTTAAATCATAGTTGAGAACCAACTCCCATTTTTTGGAAGGATAAATGAAAATTTTCATTAAAAAAAAAAAGCGAAAACATATTTTTTTTTTATGTTCAATTTTTTCTAAAACTTTAAGACATAACGTCATTTTTATTTTTGCAATGAAAAAAATTATCAAAAATAATATTATAAAATAAATAAAGAAAGAAAACCTTAGAATTATATAGATATAGACTTTCAGAAGTTGTTTTCTCATTATGTCCACTACTTTCATCACTATTGTTATTATTACCACAAGTACCATAATTTCACTATCGCTACCACAATCGCCACTGCCATTACTACCACAACAACAACTACTATGACCTTTCACTTCTATGACCATTGCCATTATTGCCATAACTATCACTATCATTTCACTACCACAATAAGCACATCATCATTACACTACTGTCGGCACTCTCTTTTTATCTCTAGCACATTACTGCGCCATTGTTGCCTCCACTACCACCAAGTCACCATCACCATATAAAATAAATTTAAAATTTAATATTATATATATATATATATAACACTACTTTACATGATAATTTATTACGGTTTAGTGGTGTTAAGTCCACTTTTAAGGAATATATGTCATTAAGTTCAGTGATTGATCTACTTTGATTTTTAAGAATTTGATTAATGAAATTTATTATTGATAACTATAAATTATTATTTTAAATAATATATATATATATATATATATTATATTCACAAGGGAAACTATTTGTGTGTCTCCGTGTGTGTATATATATATATATTATATTTACCCGGGTACTTTTTCTATATTTATTTTTTTATCGCTATGTCTTCACATGCAATTATCAATCGTCGCTTACTGTTGTCAACTCACTGTCAAATTCTTCGTCGCTTACTGTTGTCAACTCACTATCAAATTCTTTGTTACTGTCACCAAAAAATGTCGCTGACAATCACTACAGGAAAAAAACACTTTTGGCGATATTTATATTAGTCACCAAAAGTGTAATTTCTATCACTGAAAGTATCAGCAACCAAAAAAAAAGGTCGCCAAAGCTATGTCACTACATGATTTGGCGACCAAATAAATTATGGTCGCCTTATAAAAGTATCAGTGACCAAATATTTTATTCGCCAATCACCAAAAAACTTGTCGTTGTAAATTAACATTTCGTCACTAAAAGTAGCATTAAGCAGATGGCATGTCAACTTTTAGCAACATATAAATGCGTTGCCAAAATTACTTCCAACAACGAAGCAAATTAGTTGTTGAATGTCAAATCTTTTGGCAACCAATCAAGAGTAATAGACTATTAGCAATGGAAACAAATTGTCCCCAAAAGTAAATTAATAACTGAAAAACTTGTCACCAAATGTTCATTATATATATATATATATATATATTTTACTATTTCCTTGTTCAATACATAATTTATAAACCTATAAAATATAATCCAAACCCAATGCAATCAAAAAAATTAACACACTTGTGCAAAGCATCCAAAATATAAACTTAATTCAAAAGTAACATATTAAACATAAACAAAATATCAAATCCAAAGCATCCAACGTAAGTAGAAATCCTTAACAATGAATTATCACCAAAAAATACACATTTGGTGACTAACATTTTTGTCACCATATCTTAACTTCGTCGTAGAAAATTTTTCCTCTTTCCCACCAAGAACTTTAGTTCGGCGCCAAACTCAATGACGACCAAATGTTTTAACTCATCGCCAATAGTTTAGTTTTTAGAGACCAATCTATATATAGTTGCTAATTACGTATATTTGGCTACTAATTTCTGTTATGTTGCCAAAAACTGTCGCCAAAAATATTTTTTGTTGTAGTGGATGACGTCTGTAACACTTGTGTTCTTTAAGCCATTGGAAGGTGTAATTAATTCCATTGCTTCTGTTATTGGGATTTTAGAGTTGGTGTATCATTGTATCAGTGGAGCGAAATTTGATCTAGACTTGTTACAAATGTTTTTCTGTGCTTAGTCTTGTTAGAAAATGCTTTGGGAACCTTGAATTTTTGTTCTAAGTGTCGACATTAGGTTCCTAGGGGTTGACACCTGCTCTCTTCTTTTCCTTCCTTTTTGTTTTTGTTTCTGGGTGTCGACACTACCTCTTCCTAGT